GAGTTTTGATCTTTCACTATTGTGGCCATGTGTAGGTGAATTTCGCTTCTTTTATGTGAGAATTGTTTATTTCAGGTTTTGGTTTTAGCAAGGGATAGAATTTTGGAGATTAGTTAGATTTTCGATATTTTACTTAGTAGTTTTAAATAGTTTTCTCGAATGCATTGCAGTTGTTTGTATTTGTTGATTTTTTTTTAATAGATTACAAGTAAATGCAATTTAATTTTTATATAATATTTTATTGCAAATTTATAATATTCTGAATAATTTATATTATTAAAAAAATCTAAGAGTATTTATAAAATAATAAAATATTTTATGAAATAATAAAACTCTTAATTCATTAATTATATAATTTGTTAAGAAAATAACATATTTATAATAATAAACTATTATTATAATTTGAGAAGCAAATTTTTATGGAAATAAAATCACTTGCCAATCAATTTAAATATTCTTATAACAATTTAAATTTAGTTAATTTAATTTTTTTCTCACATAATATAATACTACAAACTGTCAATATTATTAAAATATGAGAAACCAATATTAACTATTGTAATAACTAATATATTAATTAATATTTTGAGAAAGACATAACATGATAGATAGTTCGCTATATAAAGACATAACATGTTGCTTATACTAATATATGGACAAGTAATTGATATAGCTGATTCTTTCCTTTATAGTTGTCAATACGGGTTGATTTTTCTGTATTTAATTGCAATATTTGTCTATTACCTTAAAAGAAATCTAATACTCTTCAACCAATATGTTTATTTTTTGTATTTTTGTTGCAACATTTCTTAATTACTATTATGAGTACATATAGTAATCTTCAATGGAGTTGTAAAATAGAGAGGGTGATGGTGATATTAAAACTTGGACACACAAGATCTTTATTTTTGGTTGTTAAGTCAGGACTTCATTGACTTGTTAGGATATAAAAAAGTACCCTTAGCCATTTTAGACGCAAAATATCTCATTTTTATTAGTAAATTTGATACAAGTAGAAAATTACACATTTGAAGGAAATTCAATGATTATATATTAAAATTTTATATGGATTTTGAAAAATTTTTTTTTAACTTTATATTAGATACATGCTAGGCATGATCATAGTTCCAGAACGTTTCGAGTTATAAGAAAGATGGAATTGAATAGTATTATAGTATTTAATAAACACCTTATATATATTTATATAATATTATCCATAGAATTTAAATTTAAATAGGAAAGTAATATGGACCATATCTTTATTTTTTCAACCAATCAAGTTAAAATTCTTAATTATATTTTTTGTCGGTCTATAAACTTAACTGGGACGTTTTTTGCAATCTTAAAATTCCCCCATCCATTTCCACTTATATATAAATATATATATGTTGGAATTAATGGACAGTTATGGGTACGCCCATGACTAGCCTTTTTAACTCGGGTCCATTAATAATACGTGATAATAATTAATATGTTTAATTATTATTATGTGTATTTACATAAGTTTAAATATCCTAGTTGGATATATTTTAGAGAGTTTGTGTTTTAGTTAGTTTCTTTCAACCTACGGTAATTCAACTAAATTTAAGAAAAAAGGAGAACATGCTCTCTTTTTTACAAAGACACAAAAAGCAAAAACAAATAGATACCCTCAAGAAAATCTAACTGCTCTCCCATCTCTACAAGAGACAATAGGGCTTTTAGACTGTGAGCAACAGGAGCAATTCGTTTGATCGTAATTGCTCCTACGGTCAACAAATTGGTAACGCGAGGTTAGAGGTTGTTCATCCGCTATGCTACAAGAGGTAGGTATTCGGCTTTCTCACTTTACATATCATGTATGAGTATATGATCTCTTTATTTATACTAACAATATATATATATATATATATATTTATTATATATATTTATACTGTCAAGAATAAATGGAGTCTTAGATTTGCTATTGCTTTGCACTTTTTGTAGAAAGAAGAGTGTCATTAATTTAATGGATGTTTACTACATAAACATAACATGTTATTATGGCAATATATGGACAATTATACAGCTGATTTCCTCCAAAAAAAAAAATCTTTTTTTTTTTTTCAAAAATGTAATACGTAGATTGATTTCTCTATATTTAATTCAACATTTATCTATACTCTAAGAAATTTAATATTTTTCAATTCAATACGTTTGATTGAAAAATATTAAAATTTCTTATGAGGTAATAGATAAATGTTGTAATTACAATATGAGAAATCAACACGTACTTACAACATTTATCTTATTTACCTCATAAGAAATTTTAATATTTTTCAATCAACGTATTGCATTTGAAAATATTAAATTTCTTATGAGGTAATAGATAAATGTTTGTAATTAAATATAGAGAAATTCAACACGTACTTTACAATTTTGATTTTCTCTATATTTAATTACAACATTTATCTATTACCTCATAAGAAATTTAATATTTTTCAATTCAATACGTTGATTGAAAAATATTAAATTTCTTATGAGGTAATAGATAAATGTTGTTATTTTTAAATTATAGAGAAATACAAAAATTGTAAAGTACGGTTGATTTCTCTATAAACTTTAGATTACAAAACATTATCTATTACCTCAATATATATATATATATATATATTTATACTGTCAAGAAATAAATGGAGTCTTAGATTTGCTATTGCTTTGCACTTTGTAGAAAGAAGAGTGTCATTATTTAATGGATAGTTTACTACATAAAGACATAACATGTTATTTATGGCAAATATATGGACAATTATACAGCTGATCTTTTTTTTTTCAAAATTGTAAGTACGTGTTGATTTCTCTATATTTAATTACAACATTTATCTATTACCTCATAAGAAATTTAATATTTTTCAATCAATACGTTGATTTTTTTTATTTGAATGCAACATTTCTTAATTACTTATGTGATAGATTTAGTATTTTTTAATGAGATTACAAATTAAAGAGGGATGAGAGTACGATTCAAACTCGGAGGTAAAAAATCTTTATTTTGACTATTAAGTCAGGACTTCACATCTCCACTTCTAATTTAATTGAAGTGTGGATTGGTATGAATTTGTAACAAATGCCATGTTTTCAGTCGGTATAGCTTTTTTTCAGAATATTTATAGTGAGCTTGTTAGGGTACAAAAAAATGCCCTTTTTTTTTTAGCGCGAAGAAATGAATGGAATCTTAAATTTACTATTACTTTGCACTTTGCGGAAGCAAGAATGTCTACTATTTGATGAATAATTTACTACATATAGGAATAATATGTTGCTTATGGTAAATATATGAACAATTAATTGATATAGCTGATTCTTGTTTTAAATGGATTTATTTTTTTAATTATAAACTCTAAACGAGTTAAGTTTATATTTAATAAAATCCAGCGCAGCAAGTAAGATTGTTTGTAGTTGTAACCTCAATTTGATAATCTCAAATTTTATCATTTGTGCTGAAATTTCCTTTTGGGATGAAGCTAAGTGACAATTAAAAAAAATACATATAAATAACCAAAACCTAAAATAATTTGAAAAATAAGACAAATATTAATATTTAAAATCAAACAAGGCATATCTTTATGACATATCATACTTCATGTCATGGAATCATTCATATGGTATAGGCGATTGCTGGTGTTTCATAAAGCAGAGGCTCTTAGGCTTTATAATATGGAATTTATTCTCATATCTTGATATTACGAAACAAAAAAAATAATTAAAGTGATTTTTTCCCCCAAAGAATCATGCTTTTCCTTTGTTAATGACAAGACCTAACTAAATATTATTTTGCAAATAACAGAGTAGGGTCATTAGGACCTGTAAGATTTGAAATTTAAATTAATCTTGTTGATTAATTATTATCTCTCTGGCTACATCCATTGAAATGGAATGTTTGTTGTTTCTACTTTCCTTTTCTCTTCTAACTTATCACTTTACAACAATGATACATTCCCCCCCAAAACTAAAATATGTAGGAAAACAAAAAAATACCCAATAATTTGAGTCTCTCTTTTGTTTTTGATATTTTCCTCAATTTAGTATTATTATTACTTTATTCATTGTATTAAAGTCCCACTCACTACTTACTTTTAGAGCTCAACAAGAACTAATGGTTTTTTTTTTTTTAATTCTCAATGCATGAATATTACTTATTAGAATACTAATGTTATTCATATCTATCTCCAGATGCATATTATTACTAATTTGAATATAAACTTATAATCGGATCTCTGTCTTATAATATAAAAAATTAGAACATTAAAATTTAGATTTAATTATAAATAAGTATATTTCATATAATACAAGAAAGAAAAGGGTTTAGAAATTAAAACCTTAGATACTCAATTGCTTTCCTTTTATTAAAAATTTTGGACATAATAAAAAATTAAAAAGAAAATTGAAAATTGAAAACAGTTTTTTCATACATAAAATTAGTTATAATTGATAAATATGTGCATGAAAAAGAAAAAGAAAAGAAAAGAAACACAAATTTACATGGATCACACTTACAATAATAATAAAAAAAAGGCCATTAATTCTTTAAAATATATTTTTATATCTCCATACCAACGAGTAATACGTACCTTGTACAACAAAATTTGCATCAACCTTTCCTCTCTAAAATTAAAAATATATTTATATTTAATCTTTATATTTAATATATTCCCTCTAAAAATTAAAAAATATATTTATATTTAATCTCTTACTATTTAACGTCATATACTATATAGTATACATATTATATATATTAGTATTTTTAATTATAAAGATCTAAATTTCTACATTTCAGATTGCTGAACCGTCAGTACTAATCATTTACCGCATATCAAGATGACTTCACATCTCTGAGATTTGAGCATAACTCGATGATCTACAGAGAACCCTCAAAGACCATCAACACATTGGCATGAAGGCTGTGAATGAAGAAGAAGAAAGAAAGCGAGAAATGCGAGCTAAGAAACCAATCCTAAATATTAGCAGAAAACCCGTATATTTTAAATATAAAGATTAAATTTCTACATCAAGATTGCATAACGCATACTATCATTTACCATAAGATGATTCATCTCTGAGATTTGAGCAAACTCATGTCTACCAGAGACCCAAAGACCATCAACACCATTGGCATGAGGCTGTGATGAGAAGCAAGAAAGAAGCGAAAATGGAGCAAGAACAATCCTAAATATTGCAGAAAACCCGATTCTCTGTCTACCAGCGGTTTCCCGAGCAAAGATTATCGGAAACTCTGTTCCGTTATTTATATTCATGCCTCCAAACATGCTTTCATCTGCTACTCTTGGGCTTTTCCTTAAGTTATGCATGTTTCTTCTTATTCTTGCCACGCTGCGCCACATATCTCTTGTTCCTTGTTTGGAGTGATCGAAAGTAATTTATTCTTGCCGGAATATGTCGATAAGTGGTGGGTTTTAGGTTTCTTAGATTACTTGTAAGAGCAAATTAAGGAAGCTTTTGAAGATGAAGATAGCTGGCTTTTTGATAATGGCAACTTGTTTGGTGGTGGTGTTGTTAGTGCTAGTGTTTATCACACGGGTTTTGTGGGTGCCTTTTAAGGAGTAATTATATATACACGGTATGATACCAAGTCACCTTCATATGTCATCTCTATGAGTTGAAATAATAATTTAATAAAAACAACCGACGAGATGTAATGAATTAAAATTAACAATAATAAAAATAGAAAAATAATTAATAAAACTGAAAAGATAATGAACAGATATATCGTATTTTTCTTTTAATTTAAATATTTCAGTTTTTGCACATATATTTTATTTTTGTTGAATAGCTATTTCAATTTATAATAGTGACACGATATTACTGTTCTACTGTATAATTATTTCTTTTTTCTTAAACTCTTATATTGTAGATATATATTGTTTTTATTTTTATTATTTAATTTCTGTGCCATAATTGTGGGGTCTATCCATGCCAACATGCCGACAATGCTGCCTAATTATATAGAAAAGTATGTAGTTAATAAAATCACTATGTTTAGTATTGTACGTGAGAATGCTTTAGGTGTCTAACTCATTCTATGTCCCAAATTTTACAATGTATGAGGCGGTTTTGGGTTAGGGAGAGCCAAAATTCTTAAAGTTACACCTTACTCCACTCATAATTTTCTTTATTAATTCAAATCGTTATAGCAAATAGGTTTAAATGCTAAGTCATCAAATTATATATCTCTAAACAATCAATCGAGTTTTATCAATTATTAATAAAATAATATAAGTTCAATTTTTAAGTTAATTTTCATTATTGTATTGTATTAAAAATTTTTTTTGACACAACGTGGAAATGAAAAATAAGAGTAACACTTGACTATGTGCTTTGAAAATAATATCAAGTTTCAAATATCGAAACTTAAATATAGGACATGTTCGGTAAAATTAGCTATTTTTGTAGCTATTAATTGTTTTAGTAACGTTTAATTATTTCGGTAACTAGTAACTATTTGAGTAGCTTTTAATAAAATGCTAAAAGTTAAACCTAGCAGGATTAACCTTTTATAAAATGTTACTTTAACCTCTCAAAACTAGTTCAAATGTTATGATACAGAAAATTATAAAAAATAGCGTTTAATGTTTTGTTTAAACACTACTTAAAAAATTGTTACTGAACACAATCATAATATTTGATAGAAAAGATTATATTAGTCTTCAATTATGAATAAAAAAGACATAACATTACATATGTATGAGTGTTGTTGGAGTGCTAAGCGATCTAAATCCTCCATAAAGGTAAGAATACAAGCTCGATCCTTGAGAAGCACACGTTGCAGCCCTAAGAAAATTTCACATCCTAGTCATATATATATAAAAAAGATATAACATCACCGCTTTATTTGGAAAGAAGATGAATCAAAATAATGATGAATTTTTATTTTTCTTTCCATTGTTATTTTCCACCCTTGTGTTGGATAATGAAAGAGAATAATGAAGGAAAGAAAATAAATTTATTTTCCTTTGTTTGGAAAAGCCAAACTTTTAGAGGAAAAAATTGTTAATATTGATATATTACTATTTTAACCTCACTTCAATATTTAGTTAAAAGTAGTTTGAGTATTTGGGAAATTGCATAAAAATTGGAGAAACTTCAACATTCCACCGTTATTTTCTCTCCCAAATGGAGAGGTTCTATTTATGTGAGATAGGGAGGAAAATAAATTAATTTTTCCTTCCTTCGTTGTTTTTCCTTCTTTTCCAAACATGTTAAAATTGTTTTTCACAATTAATTTCCACCATTATTTTAATTCCTTCAAAAAAATACCTCCATCCAAACAGAATTTACATGTAATAAAAACATTTAACCTGCATTGGAAAAATACTAAAATCAATGAAGATTGAAAATATATCAAAAATAAAGAAATTTTACTAAATAGGTAAAAAAAAAAATACTAATTAAATAGTAAAATACTAAATATTAATTTAAAACTACAATTTACTCCACCTATAACTTTTTTATAATTTTTTTTTGGAAAAGAACTATATATATTTATAATTTTTTTTTGGAAAAAGAACTATTATATATAATATATATATATATATATAAATTTTAATAATAAAATTCTAATTTACTATATATATATTATATATATATATATATATATATAGATAATTGAATAATGGGGGGTATAGAATTTAAAAAATTAATGTACAAGCGTAAGATGATTCTTACCACACAATTTATTAGTGAATAGGTCGTAATAGGGATGCTAATGTTGAATAGTTACATATTGTTAATTTATATATAGAAATTGAAATGGGGGTATAGATTAAAAAATTTAATTTACACGTAAGATGATTCTTACCACACAATTTATTAGTGAATAGGTCTAATTAGATGCTAATGTTGAATTAGTTACATATTGTAATTGATCCTACATAGAAAATGTAAGCACACCTTAAAATAGGTAAGCACAACTACTCTTTCAAGATATGCTTATATATCCGATCGATGTACTGTGTATTGGCACATTTTCTTTCACCCACTCAATTCTGTGACACCCTTGTCATAATGGACCTACGGACTCCATCCTTGGAGCATTTGAGGGAACACAAAAACTAAATTTGTCATGTAATAATTACCCTCTTCCTAAAATATTATATATAAAATTCTCAAAACAAAGATTAATCTATTAGAATGTACTTACGAAATCCATTACATATACTCTCAAAAAATTAGGTCTTACAAAAATTATTATGCAGATGCTTCTAAATTTCTTGTAAAATTAAAGATTTTTTTTTAAATAATAATTCAAACTAGAGTGCTATTTTGTACACTAATTAAACATAAAAGGGCCCATAAATTGTGTATATTGCTTTTGTGATGGAGACCCATGGTATCATGAAACTTGCTCCACTTCAATTTGCCTCCAACCTGATATCAACTTGCACATGCATCCCTACATACCCACGGACATTAATTACAACATATAACCAAAAATATACCATACACCATGTGTTACTTCTATATTACTAGGATCATTTTTTTTTCCATTTTCAAAGAAACAAACAAACCCTAGGTTGCCTAACTTTTTACGTGGATCTATACATGACATTAACTATTTGAGATTCATCTCAGTAAAAATTCACTTGAGCTCGTCCGGACATATAAATTTACTAAACTAACCTCTAAATTAGCTCATTAGCTCGCGAGTTAGTTTTATAGAGCGAATTCACGAGTTAACTCAATAAGCTAAAAATAGTTAAATTTACATTAAAACAACGTTATTTTAGTTTAATAAATTTTGAGCTCAATTTTGACTAATTGTTATCAATTCAAGCTCCAGTTTTACTATTTTTAAATGAGTCGGTCTCGAGTTCAGATTTTTGAGTTTAAGTGCATCAATTGGACACCTGAAAAAACACTTACAACGTTATTTTAATATTATATATAATAGAATAATTGTGATTTGTCTATATTATCTTTCAATTTTTAGTGAAGATGTATGGCTGAGAATCATTAGTGCACCACTGGACTATGAATATGATTGGATTTATAATTTTATAATATAAAAATCATTATCTTACAGAACACTGCACTGCTATTATTGTACTTACGTTAGTGCTCAGTGCTATTGGTTGACGAGCAAATGAAAGTCAAAGTCCAGCGTCTTCAACGTAATGTCATGTCCCATAATTCTATTTATCAGATTAATCAAAATTAGATATAAACATGTGAGGTCATATTATTGCTGAGTGTCTAATTCTAATGTAATTAATTAATAAATCAAAATGAGGGACATTCAATTAAAAAAAAAAAAAGTCTGCCGCCTTCTCTCTTTTCCTTCTTTTTTTTTTTTCTCGAAGTTTCATCTTTTAGACTACCACCAACAATGTATATTGGTTAGTGGAAGTTCCTTTCTTCTTGTTTTACTTTATTTTTCTATTTAATATATATATATTTGTGAATTTATTAATCTATAACCTTTTAAGCATGAATTTGTTTTTTATTTTTATTATTTTGTTTTTGCATTTTGGTTTTCTTGTAATGAAATTATTTAATGAATTTTATTTCATAACAATATTATATTTGTCTTAGACATTCTAAATTCTTGAGTTGTAAAATTTTTATTTTCAATCTGTTATTAATATTCAATCAAATTGTGTTTATTCAAAGACATTAACGTTTTTTTTTTTTTTACCCAAAAAGTCACCTTGCGGGACTCGTTTTCCACTGAGTTGTAAGTTCTAATTCTACAACACAATTGAACATTATTAAAGGAAATTCAAGCCAATTTTTTTGTGTTGGTTTTTCTATTTTTATTTTTAGAGGAATATATTCCATCCAAAAAAATATATTTTTTGAAGAGAATAATGAGATGAAGTATAAATGAGAAACGTCATAATTATTTATCAAACTTAAAGAGACTTAAATGTTAATTTAAATATAATTTAAAGTCCTAATTATATGTTATCTCAAAATCAAATTATGTCCACAAAAAATATTTAATATCTCAACAATAATCGTTACCCATCAACTATTAGTTACCATCTATCAAAAATAACAAACCAGTTTTAAATTAAGTGGACTCTTTAGTCTTAATGTATAAAAATTAGTCTAAAATTATTTCTTAGAAAGTCTTCTAACTCTAATTTTAATTTAGAGCTGCCACTGTTTATCGGCGGTAGTCCCTACATTCTACTCTCTCTTTTGCTTCACCTTCTTTTATTTTTAATTTTGTATTCACATTAATAAACTTAGATTTATTTTTCTTATAACAAATCTGTTTTTTATTTATTTATTTTGTTACAGTTACTTTATCTCTATATTTAGAGTTTTTTGGTTCCTTCTTTGTGATGGTTTATTAATTATAAAAATATGATATTTCACTTTATTTGGTTGGATAATTTAGATCTTGATTTACATATTTAGATTTTCGATCAATAGAGTTTTATAGTGCGGCTTGTTCCTTCATTGTTACTATTGACGCGTAGTGGCGAAAACTGATATGTGTTCGTAATATGTTAAAAATTCTTAGAAAAGCAATCTAGTATAGAATATCCAGAGAATATATTATTTTGTCGTTCAAATCAATTAATGAACTTATTGCTGCTATAAAAATTTATATCTTTTGTGAAGATCAACTCCAAGTGAAAAAATCTAATATTATATTTTTTAATTTTAGTTTCATTGTTTAAAAGAATATGAATTCTTTTATTTCATTAAAAAATCGACAAACTCTATTAGCTAATAATAGTAAAGTTCTACGTCGGTCCTATGAATATTTGTAATTCTTGATATTATTATTAATCAACTTCATTTTCAAGAAAAAGAAAGTATTCCTCAGAATAATTTTTTCAAAAAATAGTAAGAACTTGTGGAAAATCATGAATTTGCATACCAACATTTGTAAGTTCTTTTTTGAGTGGATTACCTGTAATTAACTAGAAACATGGAGAATCTTCTAAAATTGGGATTGAAAGGCAAGTAGAATTTCACCTACCCATTAACTCAAATTATGAAAGGGACTTGACAAAGAAAGACCTAAACCTACAATAGAAGTTGTGAGAGTGAAAATGACATAAAAATGGTGGTGGTGAGCCCATTTTGTGATTTGCATTCTTCTCTTATCAAATTTACATTTTAGGCCTCTTTTGCATTGTGGGTCTACCAACACATGTATTAACAGTAAAAGCCTCTTTTTGATTATGGGCCTTTTACATGAGAAGGAGACCTTTGGAAATAACTTCAAAATACTTTATTTCTTTCATATATAGACAAAATGCTGACCTGGCATCAACATATTTTTCTAATTTTTTTATTATTTTCTTTTAATTTACACATTAATTAAGTTGAAATTAATAATATCAGTATTTTTTAGGAAAGTTGGTAATTCATTACTAAATAATGTAATATGAGTATATTATGATACTTCTAGAGGAAAATTAATGATATTGTCGGAAGATTTTTCTAGATAAAAATTTGTCCTTTTTTAAATAGGATAATAAGAAATTTTTCATAATTTATTCTTTTGAAAAATTGCTACACCTCACACTCGTAGAAGAATCTAAAATATCAAATATTAAGAGAGGAACAAGTCACACTACTGAATTTCATTGATAAAAAAAATTATTCGAATTTGATGATACGAGGTCTCCAACCATAAAAAATCAATGATATATATTTTAAATTGCCAACATAGAAGAAATCAAAAACAAATATAAAAATTTTTCAACAATGGGAATAACTCTATGAAAATAGAGAAAATACAATAAATCAAAAACACAATCCCACTAAAAAGGTACCATGAACAAACAATCCAAATCTATCAATTATGACAGCTTTTAGAGATTAAATCCAATATTTTTTACAAATGATCACAAATCTAAAATTATTAAAAAAATAAAATAAAATAAAGAAACAGGATGAAAAGGAATATCATGAATTTAGTATATGTGAGTTTGTAAGAAAGGCATAAAAAATTGACGTATTTATCTATCATTAATTTTTTATATTAAACTACACAACAATATTGTTGTTACCTTAATTTGTTCTTATGGTATCTAATAATATTAGATTCTCCGAATTGGCCTGGAATTGAATTCCAAAAACATCTCTTTCTACAGTTATGACATGTTTTGGAGTATGCATATTTTTTAATAATTGGTTTCATTTTCATCTACTTGTTATATTTCTTAATAATAAAATAAAAGACATGCATTATCTTATCAGCAACTTATTTTTAATCTATCTATATCCCATTTGATATACTTGTAAACATGGAGAGAGATTAATTTTTGCAGAGGGAAGAATTAAGATTCAACAATGGACAGCCTCCCAAGAGAGATTGCCTTAAACATTCTATCAAGATTAACAATAACATCTTTAATCCATGTCAAGTCAGTATGTCGTTCTTGGCGTAGCTTAGCGCAAGACCCACTTCTTGCTCCTCTGCATTTCTCTCGCATGGATAGAACTGCTAACCCATGTCTTATCTTGCACTATGACTTGCCAATCCAAAACCATCTCTACACTCTCCATTTTTCTGATCATGGAAGCATTGAAACACCGACTAGAATTCATATACCTATGATCTCGGAGTTGGCTATAGTAGGATCCTGTAATGGCTTACTATGCTTATGGCATTCACTTTATAAAGATGAATGTTATATATACAATCCTTTTAGTAGGCATTACACAAAGCTGCCTAAACCAGAACAGTTTCAAACACAAAAAAGAGTCGTATTAGGATTTGGTTTCCATGAAATAACAAAAGAGTATAAAGTTGTCAGGATTGTTTACTACAAGAAAGAAGATGAAGAAGTCGACAATTTGCAATTACGAAGATACTCTTTATTACCGGAATCAGAGGTTCAAGTTTTAAGTCTTGGAAATGGGAGTGTCACTTGGAGAAGTATAGGGAATAGATCTTTTCAACTTGGAATACAATCGCAATCCCAAGTTTTAATCAATGGAAGACTTCATTGGTTAACTGACCAACTCAGACACCAAGCACCTCGCCAGCTGATCTCTTTTGACCTGAGAGACGAGAAATTCAAAGAGATTCCAAGTCCTAACGACAGAAGATTTGCTATATTCTGTTCACATCTTGTGATTCTAAGAGGCTGTCTTTCTGCAGTTGTTCGAGGTTATGGACAACTTGGCGTTTGGGTTATGAAAGAATATGGAGTGCAGGATTCTTGGACCAAAGAATTTGTAATAAAAAGTCACTTGCCATTGAAATGGTTGGATGAGCCATATTTTAATGGATCCTTCAATTTAAGTTTGTCAAAAGCTAGAGTTTTATGCTCTCTTAGAAATGGTGAGATATTGTTGGAATATAAGGGTAGATCTATAGTTTCTTATAACCCAAATTCTGGAACATTTAAGGAGCTTAGTTTTCAGTGTTTGCCAGAATGTTTTAATGTTGTTGTTCATATGGGTAGTCTGTGTTGGATTGATACCCCAATTGATTTGTGAAACAAAGAAAAAAAAAGTGTTTTTAAGATGTTGTTGAGTTTGATGTTTTTTTTTTTTTTTTTTTTTTTTTTTTTTTAAGAAATGGTGAGATATTGTTTGGAATATAGGGTAGATCTATTATAAGTTTCTTATAAACCCAAATTCCTGGAAACATTTAAGGAGCTTTAGTTTTTCAGTTGTTTGGCCAGAATGTTTTAATGTTGTTGTTCATATGGGTAGCTCTGTGTTGGATTGATACCCAATTTGATTTGTGAAACAAAAGAAAAAAAAAGTGTTTTAAGAATGTTGTTTGAGTTTGATGTTTTTTTTGTTTTTTTTTTTTTTTTTTTTTTCTACGGTTAGGGTTTTATATGTATTTTTTTATTTATTAACCATAGTTTTTAGAATCTTTCCACTTAATTAAATTCTGCTTAAGTCTTAAATCGAATCGATAAGGATAAAACACTCTCTCAGATTTCATCATTTGCCTCCATCATATAAGAACTCAAATCGTTGTCTCACTTATTGACAATACATGGTTTTCATATTGCGGACTATCCCATATACCAAATAATAATTGAAAACCATTAAAAAAAGTTATAAGCATAATTGTTCTCTATTTTACATATACATTTTTTTTTTTTTTTTTTTTTTTTTTTTTTTCACGGTTAGGGGTTTTATTTATATTTTTTATTTATTAACCATAGTTTTTAGAATCTTCCACTTAATTAAATTCTGCTTAGTCTAAATCAATTCATTAAGGATAAAACACTCTTATTTCATATTTGCTCCATCTATAAGAATCAAATCGTTGCTCACTTAGTGACAATACATGGTTTTCATATTTGCGGACTATCCATATACCAAATAAATAATGAAAACCATTAAAAAAAAGTTATAGATAAGTGTTTCCTTCTATTTACATATACATTAAATATAAAAAAATCTTATTTAATACTAAAAAAAAATTCTTATAGATTAAATTTTTTTCCCTTCTATGACATGTTTTGAACTGTATAGATTAAATTGTTGGGTGCTTTCATATCTTTTTTTTTTCTTATATTCTGTAAGCTAAACAAAATTTATCTATTAGGATTATTTTATTTTAGGCTTCCTTGTAAAATCCGTTGCCTCCTATTTTCTTTGGTTTGTATTAGCTACTTTGTCTTTATGTCTATCGCTTTTCATTACATGTGTCTTCTAAACTGAGCCTCTAATCATGGAGGAAGTTTCTGCAGAGTCAAATATAACAACAGGATCAGGATTCAAGAAGATCCATCAAGAAGCAACAACCATGGACAGCCTCCCACGCGAGATTGCACTAAACATACTATCAAGACTACCAATAACATCTCTAATCCATGTCAAGTCAGTATGTCTTTCTTGGCGTAGCTTAGCACAAGACCCACTTCTTGCTACTATGCATTTCTCTCGCATGGTTAAGACTACTAACCCATGTCTTATCTTGCACTATGACTTGCCAATCGAAAACCATCTCTACTCTCTCCATTTTTCTGATCATGGAAGCATTGAAACAACGACTAGAATTCATATACCTATGATCTCGGAGTTCGATATAGTAGGATCCTGTAATGGCTTACTATGCTTATGGCATTCACTTTATAAAGATGAATGTTATATATACAGTCCTTTTACTAGGTATTACATAAAGCTTCCCGAAGCAAAACAATTTCAAACACCAAAAAGAGTCGCATTAGGATTTGGTTTCCATCCAAAAACAAAAGAATATAAGGTTGTCAGGATTGTTTATTACAAGAAAGAAGATGGAGAAGTCGACAATCCGCAATTAAGAAGATACCTTTTACCGGAATCAGAGGTTCAAGTTCTAACTCTTGGAAATGGAAGCTTGAACTGGAGAATCAAAGGGAAAACATCTTACCAACTTCTTGGAATGTCATCGGGAGTTCTGGTCAATGGAAGACTTCACTGGTTAACTTGTCGACATAGATATCAATCACTTCGTACGCTCATCTCCTTTGACCTAGAAGATGAAAAATTTCGAGAGGTTCCAGTTCCTAGTCGTGAATCTTTTGGAAGGCATTGTTCCCGTCTAGTGATTCTAAAAGGTTGTCTTTCGGCAGTTAATCAAGGCTTTAGAAGCCTTTACATTTGGGTTATGAAAGAATATGGAGTGAAGGAGTCTTGGATCAAAGAATTCAGTATTGGAGCTTCCATACCAAGAGATCTGTATTACCATCCAGAACAGTCTATACAGAATTTTTCACAAGCTAGAGTTCTGTGCGTTCTTAGTAATGGTGAGATATTGCTACAGTATTATTGCAGATCTCTGGTTTCTTATGAACCAAATTCTGGGACATTTAAAGAGCTTGGCATTCGATGTTTGCCAGAGTCTTTTAATGCAGTTGTTCATATAGCTAGCCTCAACTGGATTGACACACCAGTTGATTTATGAACATGGAAAAATGTATTTGTAAAATTGGATTTGTGCATTATCTGTTAGCAGTTGTGTAATGCAATTGGTAATTGGTATATAATAGTTGGATAATTTGTGAAATTTCATCTTCTACACTTCCGAATTTCCATATACAAGTTCAATAATTAAATTGAATAAATGGTAAAATAGATTTTATTTTGTGTTTGATTACTAAGTATATACCAACAAAATTGGTCCGGATGGTACGCGTTCTCCGGCCGTGTGGATAAGTCGAAAGCGTACTTGCTAGAAAGATGGGCTTTTTTTTTTTTTTTTTTTTTTTTGGATGGTACGCGTTTCTCCGGCCGTGTGGATAAGTCGAAAAAAGCGTACTTGCTAGGAAAGGATGGGCTTTTTTTTTTTTTTTTTTTTTTTTTTTTTTTTAAAGGTCCCTATTTGAGCCCCAGAATTTCACATGCAAGTTCGTATCTATGTGATAAATAAGTAGATCCAGCTAAGTTGAATTCAATGGAGGCCCAACTAGAAATGGCTAACAGTTTTGCATGTGAATTGAACTGTATACACTATGTGACATGACCATTAATTCCATTCTTCTAGAGCAGATTGTTTTTTCCTTTCTTTTATAGGGGGGTGCTAGAAGGAAAAATAATCCTAGTTATCCTAATCCTATATTTCTACAAGATTACAGCTATTAAATTTTTAATAAATTGTTTAAAGAGAATAATGACATCTACTTTAATTAGAAAAATATTTATAAATGGGTTGTTTTGTTATAAAGAGAGTAAAAGTAACTGAAAAAAAAAAAAAAGAAAAAACCCTTGAAATGGTCATTTTTCACTACCTTGTCTGTCAAGAACTAAACAGTATCAATCTTCAAGATTTGCAAGTTTCTTCAACTATTGTCCTTTGAATTCTCTATGAGAGGCAGAGATAGCTAGGTTTAATATGTACAAAGGTTTCACTGAATTGTGCAAGGTAGTGTCAAATGAACTATAAAGAAAGCATACATTGTTTTATTGAATTATTAGTGAAACACAAAATATTCTGTAAATTTATAATGAAGCTTCACTTTTGTCCTCTTTTTATATATTCATTGCATCTAAAAAGATCATGCACTGCAATAACACTTTTGTGTCCTTGCAAACTCATATCTTCCCTTGTGACTATGGGAAATTTCCAATTATATCCCAATTGATTTCATTTTAGTTAATTTTCTAAATTTTTATTTAATTTTAATTTTTTAAATGTGATTAGGATTTCTATATATATTATTTTGGTTGAATTTCAATTTCATTTTATTTTATGATTTAAGAAAATTGAATTTTCTAATATATTTCTTTAATTAAAATAATCTACATAGATTTTTTTACTCAACATATAAAAAATTTACATTTTTTATTTGTTTTTCTAAGAAATCTTTTCATAGCGGCTTATACATTATGAAAAATAAATGGCCAATGCATAAATTTACCTTTGTACTTTACGTAAAATACTTTGTGGTACCCTCAACTTTTAGTTTGATCCATTGAACAATTCAATTTATAAAATTAAACTAATTAAAAATGCTTCAACTTGTAAAAATTATTCTATTAAATACTCAAACATTTAAAATTAAATCAATTAAACACTTATTAAATAATTGAAAAATGTGAAAATTATTGTTTCAAAGATTATACTAACTACACAATAAGTGAATATCTTGCACATAAATGCTAAAAACACACAAAAAAAAAAATGTTAATTGATAGTACAGAGAGGAATGCAATGTTAACAAAATTCGTAACTTTCAGATGGCATAATAGTTCACTCACAAAATTTAGAGTACAGGAGGGTTTTGCCATAAAATACAAGAGTATATTTATACATTTGGCCAATAATAAATTTCCTTCGGTAAATGAAATTTGATAAATGTACAAAATATTTATCAATTCTGAACTAATTAAAACTCCATTAGATGGATATATACATTTCAATTTGCTCAAACCTTCTTCCACTTTTAAGAGAAGTTGAAGGTTGGAATTTCCTACTAAAGTTTCTAAACTTCAGCTACTCTAGCTAAATTTATTGAAATGAAAATGGAGAGAAGAGGACAATTAAGAAATAACTTGACTAGTTAAGCATTGGAATCTACTCTTCCCAGAAATTTCTTTTAAAGACAATCACATGGTCTTGACACATACATTTCATTTTTAATTCAATGCCTTTTGGACCATTATGATTATGTCAATATTACATGTAATTGTATGATGATGAAATGGCCATGGCCATGTGTATGCATCTTCTGGCCTAATATTTCATACTTGTAGCCTTTGGTTAGGCTTTGTCTACTTTCTTTTGTTTCATTTGTACTTTCCACACAATATATATATATATATATATATAACACATATGACTTTTTATTTTGGGATCTTTGGACTTTTTTTAATTTGTGGGTCCCTTATCTATAAAAGTTTTCACAAGGATGATGCCTGGTATCTCCTTAACCAAAACTCCTCCCTTGCATGGTAATCCTGCTCCCTGTACCAAGAAAGAAAATAAAAATACCCCAACATAGTCCGGTCTAGTGGTGATTGTATAATCGAACCATAGAGTTAACATTTTAGAAAGGAATTTTAAATATAATTGTTTCGGATCCACAAAAAATTGATCTCTCGTCTAGATATAAAATGTAAAACTAATGTTATGCGTATATATTTAATTTTTTAAACTAATGTTATGATAATTTTCTAGTTTTGACCTTTTAGATAAAGTTTGATTAAAAATATAATTTATTTTTGGTGATTTAATTTTCAATTGATTTAAATGATTTTTCTTTTTTTTAGAGGATTTTAATGATATATCTTTGATAGGATATAAAAAAGTTACATTCAGTGTACTATACTATCCAAAAAGATAAAAAAATGTAAAATTTTTTAGTGACATATAAGCAAACATAACTAAATTTTTATTTTTAAAGTATAATTATTATATATTCTAAAGTCTAAACAAAATCATAAACAGATTTATAATATAAAATATAATATAAAATTAACAAGTAATATCACATTATTAATTTAAAAAAAAAAAAACATATTATACAGAGGGTAGACTGCTTGTTAAATTAGATTTTTGTTGTTATTGAAGACAAAACGTTGCTGGGTCCTTATCAATAGGGAGATGTATCCATTGACAAGGAATATGATTCATAAATTTTGCATTTTGTGCATATATCAAACGTATCTTATGTGCTGAAAATTGAACGGTGTTGATTGTTAGCTCCATCAATTTTCTTCTCTCATCTTTCTGTCCGAAGGGGAAACCCATCTTCGTCTCTCTTTCTTTCTTTTATTTATTTATTTATTTATTTTGTTTTCTTTTCTCTCAGAATTTTTCCAATGGTGGATCCCATCCATCACCAATATTTCCTTGTAGTTCTCGTCTTCGTCTACTTTCTTTTTGCATTTTCATTTTGATCTTATCAAATACTCAAAGTCCACTATGTTTATCAACATATTCCTCCAATTCTGAACTTAACCCTTATTTCAATTCTCTCTTTCCTCATCCACCACCACCATGTCCGGCGGAAAACGGCGGAGGATCAACGCCAATTTTGAAGATCTTCCAAATGAAATTGTATATGATATTCTTTCTAGATTACCCATCTCTTCGTTAGTACAATTCAAATGCGTATGCAAATCTTGGCGCACCTTAACCCAAGATCCTAATCTTGTTTCTCATTATCTTTCTAGTACAATCAAGAAAGATCCTTGTTTAGTTCTTCACTGCGATTTTCCTATCCGAAACCAGCTTTACTTTATAGATTTTGCTGCGGACCAGGAGAAGGACAAAGTTAAGAGATTAAACGCGCCGTTTTTCCAAATGAAATTGTATATGATATTCTTTCTAGATTACCCATCTCTTCGTTAGTACAATTCAAATGCGTATGCAAATCTTGGCGCACCTTAACCCAAGATCCTAATCTTGTTTCTCATTATCTTTCTAGTACAATCAAGAAAGATCCTTGTTTAGTTCTTCACTGCGATTTTCCTATCCGAAACCAGCTTTACTTTATAGATTTTGCTGCGGACCAGGAGAAGGACAAAGTTAAGAGATTAAACGCGCCGTTTTGGCCTGTAATGCCTGAATTCGACGTGGTAGGCTCATGTAATAGTTTGCTTTGTTTAGTTGACTCGTTGTATCATGATTCTGTTTATATTTATAATCCTTTTTCAAGAAATTACTTAGAGTTACCGAAATCTTTAAACTATTTAGACCAAGAAGTGGTTTTCGGGTTCGGATACGATCCCAGAAGCTATAAATACAAAATAGTAAAGATTATTTACTACAGAAATGGCCATGGCGGCGGCGGCGGTTATCCTCGTGCTCGGAGACTTGTTTACACACAATCAGAAGTTCAAATTTTAACTCTCGGCGACCGTGAGTGGCGGAGTTTAGGTAAAATAGCTTATCAGCTTGTTCGCCGGCCGGCGGAGGCTTTAGTTGGTGGAAGACTTCATTGGGTAAGTAGACCTAGAAGGTACAATCCAGTTCGGCGGATAATCTCATTTGATTTAGCGGATGAGAAATTCGAGGAGGTTCAAAAGCCGGAATGCGGTGGCCTGAGTAAACGGAATTATCATCTTGTGGTGTTAAAAGGGTGCCTCTCAGCTGGGGTTTATTGTAATTATGGAAGAATAGAGATATGGGTAATGAAAGAGTATAATGTGAAAGAATCCTGGGTTAAAGAATATAGCATTGGAAGTTACATGCCAAAAGGGTTGAAGCAAAATCTTGAAAGGCCATTTTTAAAGATTTGGAAAAACTCATTGAAGGGAAGAGTTGTTAGAGTTTTAGGAGTTTTAAAGAATGGAGAGGTTTTGTTGGAGTATAAAAGTCGAATTCTTGTTTCTTATGACCCAAATCTTGGAAAATTTAAGGATCTTTCATTACAAGGAATACCTAAATTGTTTCAAACAATTGTTCATGTTGGAAGCTTCAATTGGATTGATAATCCTATCGATCGATCGATTGATACATAGAAGAAGGAGAAGAAAAAGAAGATGTTCATATTAGTGAGTTGATTCTTATACTTCAAATCATCAAAAAAAAATTTTATATTATTATGTTTCATGTCTTCATTTGTGTAGTTTTATTACATTAAGTTGCTTGCATGTTTAATCAATTTACTTCTTTTTTTGTATATGTTGAAAAAAAATGATCTATTAATTATTAACTAGATTTTAATTCTCTATTTATTTGATTATCTTGTTCAAAGTTATTACGGTTTAAATTTACTTATGGTAACTAGATTGATGATTTTTCTATAAATGCATATTTGTGAATTGATGATGTTTCTCGAATTTGAATTAAAAATTAATTTGGAAAAGCGAGAGGCAACGGAGAAATAATTGAAATAAATTTAATTACTAAACAAAATATAATGTAATTTTGGTGTCTAAAACTAGTAGACACATTTGAATAATAAAAAATAAACATTATGTTTATACATATTGAAAATTCTTTATCTCTCTATCTATCTCTTTTGAATTTTTCAAAATTCCATAAATATGTAAAACAGTATTGCTTAAAAAGTTACTTCATCAAATAGCAATTAAAAAGTTGTTCTTGAAAACAAATCATGGAGAAGATGGAAAGGAAAAAGTCAGAAGTTAGCAACAAAAAATTACCCTATTTTTCAAAAAAGAAATGTTCAGCATCATGACTCAATTATGTTGAAATAGTAATATATTTGTTTTATGAGGGTTTGATCTTACCCAAATATCTTAATTATTAGAAAAATAATATTGGGGTTGGCAAGTGAAAATGGTATTTGATTCATAGACCATTACATGGAGAACCTCACATCACCCACCAAAATAAATAAATAAAAAGTGCCATAAGCATTGCTAATTTTTCTTCACAAACCAACCCACCAGCACAATAACAATTGTATACTAACAATGACAAAAAAAACTAAATTAAGAAACACCTTTAGCTATGCCTTTTTAACCAAATAAAACATTTGCACAAGAAAGCTATCTTAAAGCCACGCATCAAGAAAGCTCCAAATGGCTTAGCAACACAATACACAAAGGTTCCCTTTTAATATTGGAATTCCTTTTCTTTAAAAATTATTTGGAGCCCCTAAAAGAACCTTGCTTTGACAAACCTTTTCCCTATTTTAATTTCTACTTTGCCTAACCATCCTCTCATGCCTTGTGCTTTAATATTTTTTGCACTTTTATCTTCTTTTTCTTCCTCCAATCATGAAGCAAATTTTTTTTCTTTTCTTGTTTCAACTTTCCACATTTTGGGTTATACATAATTTAAGAATCGAAACAAAACTTACCCACTTGCACATTAAGATATTTTTCCCCATTTCTCATCCAAAAGCTTGGAGGAGTTTTGTTGAACACTCACATCTCCTTTACTTGCACTTTGCTTTCAATGGGACATTATAAATCAATGCTCTCTTCCTTTTTCTCAAGCTACTTACATTTTTTTGAGCATGTTTGGTTGCAAGATGGAAAGGATGGCTAGACTTGACCAAACAAAGGTTCAAAAGCAATTGAAAAATAAAATTAGTGTCTTGGTCATTAGCAGGGTCAGCAAATGGTCGGTTTAGTTCAAACCGAATTGAATCAAGATTAAAAATATCAAATTGAACTTTTATGATTAGAAATGAATCTAAATTATCATTTACGTCGAATTAGTCGGTTTAGCTAGTTTTAATACGTTTTTATCATTTCAGATCGATTTTGAGACTAATCGATTAGTTTTTACAAACTGAGCCGAATCATTAAGAATTTCAATTTAAACTGAATAAGTTAAAAATATAGAATCATTTTTGAGCTGTTGATTGAATCGAATGAAATGAATCGATTCGATTTTCAGTTCAACTTGAACGGATATTTTACACAGCTCGCTAGTGTGTTTCTTGCTATGCTTTGTTCTTTCATCCACTATCATTGGTACTTTAAGTTTTTATTTTTATTTTTTTTAATTGGAGAGAGAGATTTTTATATTGGTGTTATTAAAATATTATTCACGAATACTATTCATAATGATAATCTTTCCATTAAAATATATTGGGGGTGTGAAAATTTATGAGAATAGTTGTCGCCGCCACCACCGTCGTCGCTCTGCCACCACTAATGCTCTATTGTCACCTCCTCAATCACAACCATCACAACCCTCACTCTACCATCACATAATAAAAATTATATTTTAGTGTATAATATACAACACTCAATAAAAATTATATTTTATTCTTTTATTTTATTATATGAATGGAAAGAATAGAATGAAAAAGCACAAAAAATATCAAAATGCTCATAATTTATATTGTAATTTAATTTATTTAACAAAAATATATGAAAAAAAATTAATTTGTAACGACTTTAACTTTTATTTTGTTTTATATATTAACAAAAATATATGAAAAAAAAATTAATTTGTAAAACACCTTTAACTTTTATTTTGTTTTATGATATAATATATAATATATATTATATATATATATATATATATATATATATATATAATTATATATATATATATATTAATTTTGGGTTTCCTTCTTTTAATTTTTTTAGTTCAAATAAATTTATAAATTTAAATGGCCATTAAATAGCTTAAATATAGGATAAATAACTTTTGAGTAAAATAATATATTATTTTGGGTTTCCTTCTTTTAATTTTTTTAGTTCAAATAAATTTATAAATTTAAATGGTCATTAATAGCTTAATATAGCTAATAACTTTTGAGTAAAATATAACTTTTGTATCAATAATGATGTGGTGGTGGTGGTGGTGGTACAGTGGCAGTTGTCTTGGTGGTGGAGGTGGAGTGATGGTGGTGGTGGTGGAGTGATGGTGGTGTGATTGCTAATGGTATACTACTTACATTATATATTTACAGACAAATATAAAAAAAATGGTCATTAAATTTCATAAATTTTCTCAATTATATTATTATACATAGTAATAATAATGGAATCTTGATTATATTCTATTAAATTACATTTTCGATTGCATTACATCTTTAATTACATTACATTACATCAAATCAAACATAACTAAGTGTACTTGATTTCAAGGATAAAAGCATAAAGTTTGGGACTAACTTCATATCACTCCCTAAACTTTTTTTTTTTTCCAATTAAATCACCTGATTTGCATTTTAACCACAATTTTGTCATCACCGTCAATATTGAAAACATCCATGACAAGATAGAGGTGTGCATTAAGCTTCTGTTTGCATTGTTGTTTGAGCTACCATTGGGAAAAAGTATATATATATTAAAAATATTCTAAATCACATATTATTAGAACAATAATACACTCTAAAATTGCTTTTTCAAATACTATCTAAGATTAAGTTAATGGTACTGTGGAAAGGGAGAGACTGAACAGAGAATCAAATAAGCAAGTAAGAAGAGAAAGTGACAAGTAGAATCTTGTGATTTAAGAATTAATAGTAGCAGAAATTTCTTTAATACTGCAACTTATATAGTTATAGGCTTCTTCCTAGAAGTTTCTATTTTACAAGCTGAAGCACTTGACAACTTTCAAGTCATGTTGACATAAGAAAGTGAAAACAACTTAGAACTTTCATGTACAGAAGCTAAACATAAACCTATAAACATAGACTATTATTGTTCTTAAACAGGTAGAGTGAATTTTAAGCTTGTGTCCCTTGCTCAAGCAAAAAAGGATTAACTAAAAACCAGCTTAATAGTTCTTGACATTTCTTGTATGACAAATATTGTTCAGGCAGCTTTCAGTAGATGTTCTTACTTCTCAGCCTCACTGAAGGTGTTTCTCAGGCGCTCTAGCACGCTTTTTTCTCCTGTAAGAAACTCCACCAGTCCTTCCAATTGACAAAAGAAGAATTTAAGAGGCTAGATTCATTATTAAGGAGGTGCATTTCATTTCAAGAGTGCTTAATCTTCCAAGAAATCAGGGGGAAAAAAAAAAAGAAAAACTTGATTTCACATGAATATTAGTATTACCGTTTGTATAATCACGACAATCGTGACGGCCAACTCTTAAATCCGTTTCCCAGTTGTAGCTGAATTTATTTGCAACACTTAAAGCATCCACTTGGGTGTATCCAACTAACCAGCATTTGCTTCTTGGAAGCTTTGTCAACTTCCGGGTAAGAACAGCTCCTTCATATACAATTCATAATTAACAAGATGAACATAGTTATGATTCTAATTTTAAATTTATAATATAGCAAGGTATCAAATCTTTGGAGCATTATGAATTTATGGGTTTGCTTTGCATTGCAGTAAGGCAACATCTAAGCAGAGCAGAGCGGCATAATCAGTCATATCAAGATCAAACACAAACACAAAATGAATCATTATCTAGACAAGGAGACATTTCATATTAAAAAAAAAAAAAATCATTACTTAATTTTGAATTTAACAAAACCAGTCTATGCAGATTACAATACACTTGAATTTTTTTTTTTTTTAAGTGAAAAATAGCTTTTAGAAATGAAATTGCTGCCGGTTCTTCTAGCAAGATTCAGAAGTCCAATAATATTAATATCACATCAAGAGAAATAAATAAATAAGGGGATCGATATAATACAACTAAGAAACTACTATATTAGAAATGTTTTTACTTATGTATTATGTTACTTTTCAATCCAGTTTATCAAATCTAGCCTAAGGGGTCATCTGTTTTGCCTGAATTTCGAATGCTGAATCTGAATGAACGTTTATTAAGCTGAATGATTAAGTAGTGACAAATAGAGATAATTGCTGAATGATTTAGATTAGTTTGCATTTCATTACAGCTTATAAAATCTAGCCTAACAGTGAAAATTTGTGCAAACTACGTAGCAGCAACCCTCACCTGGCACTGCTCTACCAGATAGAACTGCAAGTGCTGTAAATATATTTTCAGGATCTTTTGGCTGAAAATCAAAAACTAGAAAGGCCTACAATAAAAATAAATTTGCTTAGAAATTCACCTTCTGCTAATGCAAACCATATTCTAACAACCTTGTTTGGTATAAAATCACCAAATTATGCAAATTCAAAGACCGTGTTAACAAAATTACAAGCAAAGGGGTTAAAGAAAACTGAGAACAGATAGAGAAATCTTGTAAGAGAGTATAAAAACAGTGAGGAGATAAAGAACCTGAGAAGGGGAAGGTGGTGAATGGGATTTAATAATAACCATGAAATGCTGCAAATCCCAGAAATTGAGAGAATAAGCAGCAGACATGAGAAGCTGAGGTGCTCCTTTTGTGGCTCTTAAGGGCACTGCAGCGACATACACTTCATCTTTGCCTCTTGTCAATGTTGATTTTGCCAACAAAGAAGCCATCTTCTTCTTCTCTTCAAGGGCATCAAATTCAACCGTTAAATGATATCGAAGCTAGAGTGAAATTGAAATGTCATCCATTTAATTTCTCTTCTGGTTTTGGATTATTTGTGGTCTATTTTCAATTTGGTTCAGCATACGGGCAGATGGGCTTGTGATGGCTTAGGTTTGATGGCTTTTGATGGATCGGTTAGTTAAAGTTATTACAAATATCTCCTCTCCTGCGGTAATAAAATATGTAGGCAATTAACTATTTAGTTACTGAATTTTGGTCAAAATTATTATTATATTTCTATTATAGCACTATTTGGCAAAATTATTAAATTATTCCAAAGTAAAAGTTTAGCCCAGTAAATTATTTAATTATTCCATTTAAAAGTGTTATTATTACAATTAAATAATCTATAATATTTGATAATTTAATTTTCATTTTTAATACATTATTTTTATTTAATCCCTTGTATTTATTATTAAATTACTATTTAAACACTCATTTAACAACTTAAATAGCACCTTCCAAAAAAATTATTTATTTGCACAATGTGATTACAAAATATATATAAAATTGTTAAAAATAATATATAAACATAAAAAGTAAATCAAATACAAAACTACATTACAAAATATTAGGGTGCATTTACTTAAAAAAAAAGTTTTTTATTTTTCATTTTCTATTTTCTATGAAAACAGTTTCCTTAGAAAATGAAAAATGCGTTCACTTAATAATAAAAAAAAATTATATTTTAATTTAAAAACTTCACGAACATGTTCATAACTTTCATAATTAAAATAAAATATTATAAAATAAAAATGCGTTCACTTAATAATAAAAAAAAATTATATTTTAAATTTAAAAAAACTTCACGAACATGTATCATAACTTTCAATAATTAATAAAATATTATAAAATAACTTTAAAAAATTTTTTAAAAATTTTTATTTATATTATTTATAATAATAATAGATGATATTATCAATTATTTATAATAATAATAATATTAATTTAAAATTTTTTAAAGATAAAGGATATAATATATGTGTAAAGACAAAATTAATTATATATTAAAGCATAATATACTTTTTTATGTTATTTAAACATTTTTATTTATTCAATAAGAATATTTTATAGAAGAAATTATTTATAGATATTATAATTTTAATTATGAAAATAAAAATAAAAAATGATTGAAAAAAATGTCTTTTGTCATCAAGAAAAACTATGGAAAATGACTTAAAACTGTTTTTTAAGTATTAGTTAAATTTTGGAAAACTTGAAACCTATTTTCTAGTTTTCGAAATACAAAACCGACTGATTTGAGAATAAAACTCTATTTTTCAGTTTTCTTGGAAAACTTTTCTAAAAAATTATTCTAATTTTCTACAAGTGAATACACTCTAAATATAAAATTCCAAAACGTAAATGGATAGACATAGAAAATGAATTACAAAATCTAAATAAATAAATTGAACAGCCAAATATTACCCAAAAAAGTTGCATAATTATATCTATTGTTTGTACAAAAATTAGCTTTCTCGAACGTGAGTTGCACGTTATTTGTGCTTGTTAAATCTTACACATTATAAGTGAGTTTATATTAATTATATATTTTTTGTTGTAAATGATAATATCATGAACAGTTTATAATAAAAAATATTAGAGTATTCATAAAATAGAAAAAATAATATTTTTATGAAACAATAAAAAAATAATTAAATAATTAAATAATTTGTTAAGGAAATATATAACATATTTATAATAATAAAATATTGTTATAAGACAACCAAATTTTAATGAAAATAAATTACTTATCAATCAATTTAAATATTCTTACAACAATTTAAATTTAAATAACTTAATTTTTTTACTTTAGCAACAATTTAAATTTAAATAATTACTTAAATTTTTTTAATTAACTTAATTTTTTTGTATATAATATAATAACATAAATTATCTATATTACTAAAATATGAGAAAAATAAATAATAGCTATTATAATAATTAATATACTAATCATTATTTTACAGCATCACTTATAATTTTGATATTCTTTTTTTTTTTTTTAACTTTTTGTAAGGACTATGAGCATATAACCAACTAGGTGCGGTCTGGTTGATCTTTCTATTTATGTAAGGAGTAAAAAGTCTTAGGTTCGAGACCTCTTGATCACAAGAGTTTTTACTAATTTGATAAGTAAGAAGGAGGAATGCTCTAATCTGTAGCCCGCAATGTTCTTTCAGTCCATATGGCTTTCCAAAAAATCCAAAAAAAAAAAAAAAAAAAAAAAAAAAAAAAACTCGATGAAGCATATAATTATTTTTTAAATATTTTTTCTGAAAAATTATTTTCAAATATATTAATATGGTTGCTAATATAAACATATTATCTCATAAATTTTATATTTTATACATATTGCTATTTCAGTTTATTTTTCTATTTTTAGCAAATAATAGAACTGTGTAATATGATTCCTTAATAAAATAATAAATAAGAGTTAATATTCCTTAATAAATAATAATAAATTACGTTTATTTTTTTAGAATATTTACTTATAAAAAATAATTATAACCAATCAAATTAAAGATTTATTAAAAATATTAACTAATCATATTATATTCTCATTCAATGTTCTAAGAACTGGACCCGTCATTGAACTGGTGAAAACAAGGGTCACTGACTGGAAGGTTCAACCAAGCTCAATATAGTTCGACCAAATTTTTTATATATAACTTTTAAATATATTTTGTAAATACAATTAAAAATATAGAATTTATAATTTTCAGTATACATTACTAAATAATCAATTAGCAAATTTGTTAATAATAATAATAATAATAATAATAATAAAATCATGAGAATAAGAATAAAATAATAAAAAATTAAATAAAAATTATGTAAACATACTTTCTGAAAATATTAAATTCACAGATTAAGACCAAAATAAAGTTATAATAATAACCTATTTATAATTGATAAATTAAGTCAAACTAATGTTAGAACCCACACAATACGCGAAACAATATTAAAAAATGAAATAATTTTTATAACATCGTTTGAAAAATAGTAAAATTATATAATAATATCATAAATTGTATCTCATTAAGATATGCTGAGAAATTGCAATACTAAGATATGTCTTCTTAAGTATCCTACGAAGTCTCTCATAAAGTATGTAATAGCAAAATTTATGCATAGTATGACCTACATCAAAGAATGCATACACGTTATTAATGTAGTTTTCAATAGTGGTAATAATTTTAAGAATTTAACCAATTATATTGAAATAATAAATTAAGTAAATTTATTTTATTTTATGTTGTGATTTATTATAAATAATTATTTATTTATTTGAAATATTAATGTATTACTTATTTAGTGTAGTATGTTCTAAGTGTGTGGATGTCCTACTTTTTAATAATTATTGTATCATGTACGTTCCCATATCTTATGCACTGTGTTCATGCAACCTAACTCTTGGTATCTGAGACTACTCCATACACTAAGCTAACTCCATACACTAAGTTAATTAACCAAGGTTTTTCTTTATTACCAATAAAAAATTAAATGTTTTTGTTTAATTTGTTTTTGCATTTTTTTCAAAGGAATTTTTTTTAATTTTATATTTATTTATTTGAAATTTTAATGTGTTTACTTATTTAATACAGTGTGTCCTACGCGTGTGGATGTTCTACCCTTATAAAAATTATTGTATTCCGTATATTCCTGTATCTCGTGTCCCGTGTCCGTGCAACCTAGCTCCTGGTATGTGAGATTACTCAATACATCAAACTAATCAACCAAGATTTTTTTTATTATCAATAAAAAATAATGTGTTTTTTTAATTTGTTTTTTTTTGTCATTGAAATAAGAAATTATTTTTTTATTTTATGTTTATAATTTATTATAAATAATTGTTTATTTATTTGATGAAATAAGAAATATTTTTTTTATTTTATGTTTATAATTTTATTATAAATATTTGTTTATTTATTTATTTATTTGAAATATTAATGTATTAATTATTTAGTGTATTACTTATTTAGTGTAATGTGTCTTAAGCATATGGATGTCCTACTTTTTAAAAATTATTGTATCCGTATGTTCTCGTATCTCATGTTCCGTGTTCATGCAACCTAACTCCTAGTATATGCGAATAACCATATGCCAAACTAATCAACCAAGGATTTTTTTTGTTTATTACCAACAAAAATAAAGTTTTTTTTTTAATTTTTTTTCGTCATTGAAATAAGAAATTAAGTAGTTTTTTTGTTTTATATTTATAATTTATTATAAATAATTTTATTTATTTAAAATATTAATGTATTACTTATTTAGTGTATTATATCTTAAGCGTATGGATGTCTTACTTTTTAAAAGAATTATCGTATCGCATACGTTCCTTTATCTCATGTTCGGTTTCCATACAACCTAACTCTTGATATATGATACTACTCTATACACCAAGCTAATTAACCAAGATTTTTTTTATTACCAATAAAAAATGAGGTGTTTTTTTTTTTTTGAGGTGTTTTTTTTTCTTGTTAAATTTTTTGTTGTCATTGAAATAAGGAAATTAATTGTTTTTCAATTTTATGTTTATAAATTTATTATAAATAATTATTTTTATTTATTTGAATATATTATTGTGTCATTGAAATAAGAAATTAATTTTTTCATTTTATGTTTATAATTTATTATAAATAATTATTTATTTATTTGAAATATTATGTATTGCTTATTTAGTATAATGTACCCCAAATGTGTGGATGTCATACTTTTAAAAATTGTAGTATCCATACATTTCCATATCTCCTGTGCTGTGTTCATGCAACTTAACTCCTAGTATATGAGACTACTCCATACACCAACCTAATCAACTAAAAGTTTTTTTTTATTACCAATAAAAATGAAGTGTTTTTTTTAATTTGTTTTTATGTCATTGAAATTAAGTTTTTTTATTTTATGTATAATTTATTATAAATGATTGTTTATTTATTTAAAATATTAATGTATTATTTATTTAGTATATTGTGTTCTAAGCGTGTAGATCTCTTATCTTTTTTTTAAAAATTGATGTATCTCGTAAGTTACAATTTATATTTTTTAAATTGCTTATATATTATTTATTTAATAATAATATATTGTTTATTCACACTTTTTTAAGCATGTGGATTG